CATTTTCAGAGCAAGCCCGGCTGATCCTCCCCTCCCCGCTCTACAGGCAAAGGCTCAGCGAAGGACGAGACGGCACTGGAGGCATTACAGAAAAAAGCTTATTATAGGGAGGGGGGGAAAAAAATCTATTGCACAGCCCCGGCTGAGGGAAATCAATAGAAAGGCTCTCGCAGACATCAGCGGGCTCTGAATCAAGCCCACAGTGATACCTTATTCTCCCTAGATAACACCCAGCTTCCTAAAAGATCTGCCTTCCGCGGGGCCTAGTTGCGCCGATAAGCTCGCAAAGCAAGACGGGGTCCTTTCACCAGTGCTGTTTTACCCACCACTGAAATGCAGCCACCTCTGGGCTGGAAGCCAGCACATCGCAACAAATGGGCTCAAGTTGCAGCAAGGGAAGTTGAGGTTGGATAAGAGGAAAAGCTCTCTTACTCGGAGGGTGGTGAAGCACTGGTATACCCAGAGAGGTGGTGGAGTCCCCATCCTCGGGGGTGTTTAAGACCCGGCTAGACAAAGCCTTAGCTGGGATGATGTAGCTGGGGCTGGTCCTGCTTGGAGCAGGGGGTTGGATTGATGCGACCTCCCTTCCAACCCTCTTTTTTTGATGGTTTTATGAAATAACTGGAGTTGGGAAACCAAAGGCAGCAGCTCGTTACAGTTGCATGGGGTGGGTGGGGGGGAGGGTTTCCTGTGGGTTTGCAGGAGGGGCTTGATGAGGACCAGAGCCTAAAACCCCTTGCAGAGACCGGAGGCGCATAAGCACGCAGCGCGAGCCCAGCTCCTCTCTGAAGAGGTAAGAGGACTCCTGGGTCCCCGCCAAACAGCTAGTTATGTTCATGCCGGCTCACCACCACCATTGTGTCTCCCAGAGCAGCAAACTCACCTCCCCCTCGCCTCCCTTTGTGGAAAGATGTCGGCACCTTCACCCTCGGCGTCACATATGCAACGCTGGCATGTGGGCACCCTCGCCCGTCAAGTAGCTGCTTGCTTCCCAGGCGAGCTCGGTGCCCGGCCCATCGCGGCTCAACACCCCCAGTTCCCAGACTGGGAGCTGCTGCAGGGCAGGGGCTGGCTGCCGGCCAGGTACGGCACCCCGTGCTCAACAACGGCGCTGCCCTGCTTCCCAGGCTTAATCGGCGGCTCCCTGCCAAGGGGATAAGCAGGTACCTCGGCAGGGCAGGATTATGGCGCTAGGAAATCTCTCTAATCTCATGGCACAGCCCAGCACAAAGCGAGCTTTGAGATCCCGTTTCAGAGGCCCCCAGAAGGGCATGGGACCTGGGCCCAGGGAGGTGGCGGCAGAGCAGAGCAAAGGACCCAGGAGACCGGGCACCTGTCCCCGAACCCGCGGGTCAGAGCACAGACAGGAAGCAAGCACCAAGTTAGCTACAGTTCCAGGGGCTCACACACACACACACACACACACACACACGCATGCATGCATGCACACACACATGCATGCACCCCCCCACGCGCACACACCCCTGTTCTAGGTACCAGGGAGCTCATGGACTCCTTTGGCCTCTGCAGCAGGGAGTAAGATAGAAGCCAAATATCCAGCGCCGTTCGCAACCAGACCCGTGGCTTTATCCTCTCTGTTCCAGGAATATCCCAGAAACTTCTTTTCATTACCTCTCCCTGCTCTTTGCTTCTGGGGTTTGCCTGGGTCGTGGTTTTCAGCTACTCGCTGACCACTGAGCCATCAATTATTTATAGGAAAGGATGCAAACTGGGAGTCTCCAGAAGCCCAGATCCCAGCGGCTGGGCTTGAAAAGAGGCCCAGCTATAATAAGGGTTATTTCCCAGCCAAGCGGCCCTGAGATGTTTGATCTCTGGAGCGCTTGCATCAGTCGTTGGCCTGGAGCACGGATGTAAGTGCTCTCCTCACTCCTAAGCAGCCTGCCAAAAGCAAGCAGGAAGATCCAGGGCGAGGAGCATGTGCGATCATAGCCAAGTCAAGCTGGTGGGAGGTCGCAGTCTCCAACACCCTGCTCAAGGCAGGCGCATCCCTGCCCAGCCTACTGTGAGAAGCCTCCTAGGATGGAGACCCCACATGTCCCTGTTCCAGCGCTGAACCACCCCCAGGGGTTGCTTGTACATGCCACATCGTTTCATCCTCATTAACTTAACGAGCATTAAAATTTTTAAACGCATTTATTTTGGCACGTCAGGTTTGTGTTTGCACGTAACGGGCTTTCAAACTTATCCCTTGCTGCAATTGAAATCATCACTCCTTGCCCCGTCCCTTAACAGCCTGTCACCGTCCGCTTTGTAACAACAGTTCAGGTGTGGGAAGGGGTATCAGCTCCCACCCCTGCAGTCTTCTCTTCCCTGGACTAAATCATCCTGCTCCTCCAGCCCCGTCCCCCCAGGCCCGTTGTCTAAACCTTGGTTCATTAGTGTCATTCTCTGCTGGACTCTCAGTTTATCGATGTCTTTTGTGACTCCACCCCAGGGCATCCCCTGCACCCAGGCCGCTCCATTGGAAAGCCAGCCGCAGCCCACTCACAGCCACCAGGAAGGCTTAGCAAGAAATAAAGAGCAGCCCCAAATCGTGCGAGCACTGGAACCCAACGCAAGATGCAGCAAAACACAAGAGCTGCTGTGTTCAGCTTGGCTGCCTTCCCTCTGCAACCCTCCATCCTGCCGGCCCGCTTGCAATCAACCCGCAGCCGTCCGCAAGGGCTGCTTACGCCACCGGACCAGCCACCGGCTCCACACTCGATCGCGCCCCGTGAAGCCCAGGGCAGCGAGGGGCTTCGGGTAGAGGTCGGGGAAGGAGGCTTGTGCCCGAAAACTTGCACAGAACTTTTTTTCCCAGCTACTCAAGTTGGGCTAATAAAAGCTTTAACATTTCCCCAAAGCACATTGGGTAGAGGCAGCTATTGCCGGGAAGGAAAGAGCCAGGCCAAGAGCGGTGAGCTGCGCTCTCAGGAAGTGCTGCCTGCAGGGCGGAGGCCTCAGCCCCTGGTCTGATGGTATTGGGGCCCCTTATCAGGGCTCAGCGCCCCGGGGGCCTTGCACAATTATCCTTGCACCCTGCGTGGCAGCGGTGCTCACGCTCGCTCTGCACTTGTGCCCATGTCCATGCAAGGGAGCAGGTGGCTGGGAATGGTGGGGCTCATCCCCCTGTGCAGCAAGGACCCCCCAAGGCCTTCCTCCCACTCCCCTTGGATCCCTCTTTGCCACCCGGACCAGCACGATCACCCTCCTCCTCTCACTTGAGGCTGATGGGCGCCAAGGGTGCTGATGCCCCCCTTTCCCAATGCCCCCAGGGGCATCCCAGGGGCTGAACTGCAGAACCCAGGCCCCAGGGACGGCTTGGTCTGGCTCCAGCCCAAGGATCAGGGCTGCCAAGGCCGCATCTCTGCAGTGGGGGCATGCCCGGCTCTGACCACCCCCCCCCTCCGGGCAGGGCTGGTGGGCAGCCAAGGTGCAGCGGCAAGAGCCCTGCCCAGCTGCCACCCCCCCCCCCGGAGCCGGGAGGAGGCCCCGCCCCCCGGCCTCGGCCAGCCCCCCCCCCCCCCCGGGCCGGGCCGGGGGGCCGCCAAGGGGGAGGGGCAAAGGCCCCTCCCCGGCTGCCCCCCCCCCCCCGCGAGCTGGTAGGATGCTCTGCCCTCCGGCTGCTGCAGCCGCCGCCACCTCCCTGCCCGGGCACCTCGCAGGGCACCGCTTGTCTGTGCTCCCCCCCCCATCTTACCTGTTTCCCACCCCTTTATCTGCTCCAACGCGGCCCCTTTAAGAGCAGCCCCCTCTCCCTGCCAGCCGGGCGAGTCTGATCATTTCGCAAGCCCCGCCCCCAGCTTATGTCACAGGTGTGCTGATACAAAGTAGCCTCGCGCTGCCTGAGGCGGGGCTACAGCCGGCCACCTGACGTCACAGGGTGCTTCTTAAAGGGCCCACAGGAAAAGGGGAGCTGGGGCCAGGCTCCCTGCGTGGGCAAAGCATGGCTCACCCCCTGCAGACTCGCATGGGCATGGGCGCCAAGGGCAACCCCCCTGCGAGGGGTCCCGGCCCCATCCCAGTGCAGGTCTTTGCACCATTGCCCACCATGTTGGTTTCGTGCCAGCCGGGCAGAGCCCAGAATGGGCCGGGATCCCACCGGCGATGCCCGGCTGGTTGGCATCACCCCGGGTCCCTCTGGGGTTTTCCCCGGTGGCTGCAGGGATCTGGTTTTCTTCGATTTAAAAAAACAAAATCCCCAATTTGGGGTTTAAAGCCCCAAATCCACATTTTTCCGTGATTAAAGTGAAACACCGCTATAGATATACCAATGTATTTGCTGAAACACCGCTAATACACAGATATAGCTATAGCGGTGTTTCATTTATGGATTAGCGGTGTTTCATTTTAATTACGGAAAAATGTGAATTTGGGGTTACTCTTTTTTTTTTAACTGAAAATTTGAGATTTTTTTTTTTTTTTTAAATCAGAGAAAACCAGGATCCCTGCTCATCAGGCTTGCAAACCGAACGGGGATAACATTGTGCATCACCGTTGAAAGGATCTGGCGGCACCCCAATTGAGAATTACTGCCCGAGACCTAAGCAGTGACCCTCCACAGGCCCCACAACCCCCTTTGCTGCCCAGCCACCATCTGAGCTGATCCTTGGCTCTGGCCTTATATACCTCAAAGGGGCGGGGCTAGAAGAAGGCATGCTGAGTCTTAAAGGGGCCTTACCCCCAGCTGCATGGGTTTCTAGGTCTGGCGTTCCCGACCTCATGGTAAGAATAGGGCTTTCTTTGCAATACAGCTATTCCCTTTCAAGCTATCCTCCGGTCTGGAATCAGCAGAGCATTTAATGTCAGGACCAAGCTGGGGAGCCAAAATAGACACTTAACAGCTTTCCTGACAGTCACATATCAAGCAGCAACAGCCAGCAAGAGGAACGCCGTTCTTCCAACAACCCACGGGGCACCCCCACCCGCTGCTATAGTGAAGCAGCTGAGCCAGGCCCCTTCCCCAGTCATCCTGTACACACAAATGGCAGCACGGCCCATCCTTTCTACAGCATTTATTGCCCATGTTCAAATATTACATTTCACATTTTATTAAAAAAAAAAAAAATTCCAAGGCACCACCTCCAGAGGCACCACTGCCTCTGGAGGAACGCATGGCACTTGACCTTCCAGGAGCCCAGGGAGTCTCCATCGCCAGGCTCCTGGCTGCCACTGCAGCAGATGTCCCATCCAGTTCTTAGGGGCTCACGGCCTCCCATCACCGGGGGGCTGGTTTAGACAAGCCTAACCTAGAAGGCAGTATGGGGAGCTGGCACCCCAAGAGAGGAGGCTTGACAACTACCTAGCTGGGGTCATTTGAGCCCAGTTTTCTCTCCTGCCCGGGGCAGGGGTCGGACTAGAAGATCTGCAAGGTCCCTTCTGACCCTACATCTATGAGAGTGCCAGCAAGGCCAGACGCGCGCAAGACATTTCCTGGAGGTTTAAATAGAGCGAGTCTTAGCCGGAAGAGCAGCTATATTAAAAAACATCTGTAAAAAACCACTGCCATTGCAACATATCCATCCGTTGCGTCACCCATATCCATTCACCCATATCCATCCTCTATGGGTGAACAGATCCAGCCTCCTGAGGCCCGACCCTGCTGTGAATAATGCAGCAGACTCAGACCCCCACTCCAGTGTCAGGGGCAGTTAAAATTTCTCCTTCTCTCTTCTTCAGGGAGCACTGGACTTTTTGGAATAGAGATGAAGAGCGGATAAACTTGGTCCTTATCTTCACAACGCCTTGCTAGTCTGCTTCCCTTTAAAAAAAACAAACAAACCAAAAAAAACACATACACAGGAGAGCACAGCCTTTGGGCTTTGCTTTTGGCCTCGATAAAAATATATATATATATATGTATAGAAAGATATATATTTTCATTGGTCCCCATGAGAGCTTGGAAGAGATGCAGAAGTTAATAGATCTGACACAGCATGATTTGCCTCCCATCCTTTTGAAGTTCCCTGGCCTGGCCTGCCCTTCCCAATTGCATCCTGTTTATCAGATGCCCTCAATCCCCAGCTGCCGCCCAGCCCTGGCTAGGCAGCTTCCAAAGGCACCTTCAGAGCGTGAAGGAGCAGCCGCACGGTTGCAACACAGGCCTGCAATGCTGGGAGGCTGCAATCCATTGCATGCCCTGCTCTGCTAATGCTTCCCTGGCACGCACGGTCCTGGAGGGCTAGAGACGGGGTACTTATGGGCATCTAAAATCCTGCCTAATAGAAGACTACCGGGCTGAATTTGGGGGCACTGCCCTTTGGGACAACTCCCAAGGGGCTAAACAGCCAACTCTTCTCTCTACACAGAGGGGTGTTTCCTTGCTTAGAAAAAGATTCAGTATAAAAAGAGTTTTAAAAAGAGAGAGAGAGGGGAGATGCTGGGATGTTGCCGGCAACTAGGATCTGTGAGTGAGCTAGGGTGGGACGGGAGGGGTTAGGTGGGGTTAGGGAGGGCCCCCCCTCAGTAACTCTCTTCCTCCTCTCGGTAGTAGTGGTACTCGGGTGGGTCCATGCTCTCGTCGCAGGCGGCGTTGGCCGCGTCGCCCGGGTTGCCCTGGGGGCAGTACTTGGGGTCGTAGATCTGGCGGCCCAAGCCGAAGACCTGGCCGCTCTGGTTGGCTCCCTGGTTGTAGCCCATCTGGAGGGACATGGAAGAGTTGTCGCACTTCTCCGTGCCCATCTTGGTGTCGTAGATGTGCCTCCTCGTGCCGGGGGCCGTCATGCCCACCTGGGAAACCAGACTGCGCGTCACACCACTGCGCCCGCAAACTGGCTGGAGGGCAGGTGGGCGCCCTTTGTACTGCGTGCTGGGCATGCTCGAGCAAAGAAACCCCCGTGATTTTACCATCTATGTGGGCCCAAGGGATATAGGGGGGAGGTACAAAGCACAGATCCTGTTTTACAGGCAGGAAACAGGGCACAAGACCTCCCCCAGAACTGGATCTAGTTTGTGGACTGGACTGATCCCAGCTGAATCCAGCCTTTCCTGCCCCACGCACCCCCAGAGGCGTGGTGGAGGGTGGAGGCTCCGGTCCCCCACCAGTCTGCTCCCACCTGCCTACCTGGCTGGCGCACTTGTTGGTACCCATCTGAAGGCTGATAGTGGAATGGTCCATGGGGGCCAGGATCTGGTTTTTCGGGTCATAGAGGTGCCTCCTGGTGCCGTAGGCCGTCATGCCCGACTGGCTAGCGCACTTGTTTGTGCCCATCTGAAGTCAAAGAGAGACTGTGAGAACCTGGAAGTACTGGGAGTCCCCCCCTCCACAGGGCACGGAGCAACGGCTACCACCATGCCAGACCCTCCTTCTCTCCCCACCATGTCCCACACCTTCCCCATTCAGAGCTGGGTAGGAGGTCCCCCAGATGGGGAGTCCTAGCCCCAGCCCAAAGATGGGCTTTCAAGCCCCTTTGCTGTGCACTGCAAGGTGGCAGTAAGTTGGTCCCCGAGTCCAGACTGTCCCAGCCCTTCTCCTCCCCCAACACGCCTCCCTGAGAAGCCAGCCCCACGCTCCAAGCTTGGTAGGGTTGTCTGAGGAACAGAGCAGAGCAGCTGTGACAGTCCCTGGCCCCTGGGGAGCAGAACAGGCAATGCCAGCACAGCCTGGGCAGCTGGGGAGGATGAAGGGTGCCAGAGGGTTAAGGTCCCGCTAGTATCTAGAGGACTCACACAGGGTTCGACCCCCTTGTGCCTGGGGGCAGGGAACTCAGGTGCTAAAGGGTTAAGATGCTCTCTCTCCCTGGTGCCCCCCAGGACCCTGCAGTAGGAGACATGGGCATCCACTCACCTGGAGCCCGATCACGCACTGCCCGGCTTTCATCTTGGCCTCGTCGAAGTTCCTCTGCTGCCTCTCCGAGTACTTCACCCCGATGTCCACCCCGCTCTGGATCCCCTTGGTCTTGGCCTGCCAGAAAGGGTGAGAGCCTCAGAGACTGTCCCCAGCACCCCCTGGCTCCCAACCCACCCAGGACCAAGGTGCAGGGGCAGCCACATCCATCATCTCCTGCCTGCCAGGGACTGGCCCAAAGCACAAAACCTCTGGTGCTGGGGTTTGTACAGAGATTGGAAACTCATCTGGGTCAGCTCATCAGTCCTGCCCTCAGGTCATCTGTGACAAGCCTCAGGGCACCTCAAGCCTCTATCCGTTCTCCACTACAAGAATGCAGCTGTCTCTGGGATGGCTCAGTGCTATTAAACACCTGCCTCAAAGGGACAGTAGAGGGGAGAGCCTCAGCCTGGGACAGGGAGTGCTGTACGGGGGCTCAAGGCACTGTAGATGATCTGTATGAGCTCGAAGCAATGTCTTTGCTCCAGTGGGGACCTGGCTGGGGCCAATGCCATCCTTTGAGAGCATCCATGGAGGCACAGACAGGGTCTGGCTGGGTCCTTGGCTGTAGTCTCCCACAAAGCAGACCAGAGGGACCCAGGCAGAGGGAGATTCTACCCCACAGTCCCTTGGGGGTGTCTGGGGTGGGTGCAAGGTGTGGCATGGCCTACAAATGATGGAGAGGAGCAGCCACAAAGCTGCCGGGCTCCTTCCAGCACTCACCATGCCCGCCAGAGCCAGCAGGGAGACCTGCACCTGGGTCATGTTCCCACTCTCGAAGAGGTCGTTGGCTTCAAAGAGGTCGACAGGGTTCATGCCATAGCTGGTCATGGCCTTGATGAAGTTGGAGAGGTTCTCCAGCTGGGGAGGAACATGGACAAGGACACATGAGAGAAGGGTGAGGAGCCGGGAGCCTGTTGGAGACGCGGCTCCCAGAGCTGCAATGCTGGGGCCAGCAACCTGCCAGGCTGCCTGCTCCAGGGACACAAGGCCCAGGCACCCACCTGGTGCCAGTTTTGAGCCGAGCGGTTGATCTTCCTCACCGAGCCGGGCTTCAGCTTGTTCATGAGCCTGCAGAGAGATGGTGCCATTAGCACCAGAGCAAGGAGGCTGCATCCACCTGCACCAGCTCCGGGTCCTGCTGTCCCTTGCAGTGTGAATGTAGCACTGCAGGAGTTTGGTGCCCATGGGCTTATCCACCCCCCCGTGCCACCTTGACTGCTGGTGCAGTCAGCAGACAGGAGCTAACGAATCCCTCCTCTATTTCCAGGAAAGCACTGGCATCACCATGTTGGTGCTATGCAGCCCTGAAGAAGACCCTCACTGCAAGAGGCAACTCCCGAGTGAGGTGGCCATGCCCCATGGCATCGGGAAGGGCCTCTTCAACAGAGTGGCTTCCCCTGGGTGGAGATCGGCTCCAGCCAGGACAGGCTCAGGTTTTGCTCCCTATGAATTTGAGCTGCAGCCACTTGCGGGAAGGAGATCGTGTTTGTTTTCAGAGCCAAGGCAGAGTGTGGAGGAACCTCAAGCAACATCCTGTCGAGCCAAGCCCATGCCAGGAATTGCCCCAGGCCTGGGAACAGCTTGGACCTGCTGTGCTCCTTTGTGCAGGCAGATCGAAGGGCTGGACGGCCCCCAGGTTGCAGGGAGCCTTCCTGGGATCGCACGCCTTCTCTACCAGGTGCAGTCTACCAGGGGGCTTGGGGTCCCCTAGACGGCCTGCTCTCCCAGCTCCTCGGGGAGGGCAGAGGCATCGCTAGTCAGGCCAGGGTGCCTGCCAGCCACTACAGCAGCATGAGGCATGCACAGGCCTGGGTGGTAGCAGGGTCCTTGCCCCCAGACCGATGCATCTGGAGCCCGTTCCCTCTAGATGGCTGGGGCAAGGCAGGAGAGCTCTCCGTGTCTGACCACGAGCTGGAGCTCGGCGTCACATCACGGAGCACAAGGGCCGTGCCAAGCTGCGAGCAGGCAGCGCCTCTGCCCCGTTCACAGGCTCCAAGCGCAGGCCTCTTGCTGATGAACTCCAAGCCAGGCCAAGCTAGGTCTGAGAAGGGCTTCCAGCCTCTGGGCTCATCTGTAGCTCACACTGCGGCTCTCAGATGCTGCAGGGGCTGGAGAAGGGGGCAGCAGGAAGCCAGCTCAGGGAGCCTGCAGCTCCCCCAGACAGACACGATCCCCTGGAATCGCCCCCCACAGCATCGCCGGCCCCAGCAGACTCACTCGCAGAGGAGGACACCGTCCTTCAGCCCCTTCTGGAAGTCGGGGCCGATCTGCTGCCCAGTGATGTTCTCGATCCATGTCCTCAGCTCGGCCTCCTTCTGCGGGTCGTACTTCTGGGCGAGCTGGCGGAAAGCAGGGTGGGAAGGTTAGTGCTGCTCTACCGGGTCCCTGCCGTGGCTCCCCGCACCCGACACCGGGCTTTCTAGCTGGGCTGGGAGGTTTTGTGGAGCCCTGGCCAGGAGGATGTCGACAAGGCAGGGGCAGTGCCAGGATCAGGGGCCATGGCAGGTCCCTCTCTGACCCAGCACACCGTGAGCCCCTTGGCCTCCGCCCTCCCCCTCCATCACTTCTTCGCCCTCTGCCAAGAGCAGCAGATTGCAGAAGCAGTGAGCTCATGCCCGGGGCAGCCCAGCCCCACGGGAGCTTCCCCTAGCAGGGCCAGGCCTGCCTGCACTTGCTGCAGCCGACGCTCTCCGGCCTCCACAGCCTGGAAGTGGCTTGTGACGGCCATTAACCCCTTTGCTGCCCCCGGGCTCCAGGGGGGTATTCTGCAGAGCCTCCTATCCCTAGGGGCTGTGATGCCTTAAAAAAAAAAAGTCGCTGCTCCCCATGGGCACAGCACCCCTTTGCTTGCTCCAAGCAGGCACTCCCTCCTCCCCCCTAGGGAGGCAATGGAGATGAGGGGGTCTGTTGCCAAAAGCCCAGCCCAGAGCTTCCTGCAGCATGAGAATGAGGCATCCCTGCTGGGCTCCCAGCACGGCGCCCGACCCGGGAGCGAAGTCATCGGGAACAAGGAAGGGGCGGTTTGGGGTTGCTGGAGCAGCTACAATTTCCTGAGACGCAGGACAAGACGGAGCCAGGCGGGCAGGGGGGAGAAGTTGGGCCGCTGGAAGGGGAAGCTGCAGCGGGTTGCAGTCTCAGCATCGCTGGACGACAGGAAACCCCTGAGCCGGTGCCAGGCAGGGGGGGGCAGGGGGCAGCCGGGATGACGCTGTGCCAAGCGAACAGGAGCAAGGGCACAACCAGGTGATGCCCAGGAAGATGGAGATTCCCCTGCCCAGCCCACACTGCTGGCTCCCACCCCTCCATCCTGCCACTGCCCTGCAGCCCAGGCACTCCCAGTGCAAGATAAAACCCCTGGGGCAGGATGTGGGGAGGTGGGTGTGAGAAGTGGTTCAGAGGCCAGGACACCAGTACATCCTGCCAGGTGCAGAATAACACCCCCTCCCTCCCCCCAGCCTGGATGCTGCTGAACTTCTCGGGGGGCTTTTGCTCCAAGGCACTCTCTTTTTGGTGCAGCAAAAGAAGCTCCCCTCTCTCCCCGCTTCCAGGGTCTGGTGTTAAAAGCCAGCCAGGAGCCCACAGGGACTGGAGGAAGGCGGACAGCTCAAATGACTGCATGCAAGAGGGAGAAAAGAGCTCTTTGTTAAATGCTCTGCCCCTTGGCGCTAAAGGCCAAGAGCAGCCCCTCTGTCTGGGACAGGCTCCTCCAGGAAGACCCGAGCAGAAAGGAGGCTCCAACCCAGCGCATGGAGCAGCGGTGCTCACAAGGGGCCGTGGCCTGGCTCCCAAGGGAGAAGCCTCCCCCATCCGCCCCCCAGCCTGTGCCAAAGCCACGCTTGCTCGGACCCGAGCCAGGGGCGAGCCAGGCTCTCGTGCTATCGGCACGGCTCTGCCCTGCCCCCCAGCCCAGGGTTGAGCCACAGGAAGTGTCACAAAAGGACGAGTCAAGCGAGGGGGAGGCTGCTAGCGCCTCCGTCCCCCAGGGCCTGGCTCAGACTGGGCTTACAGGGAGGACCTGGGACAGTCGCAGGAAGGGACCCATGCCTGCCCCAAGGGCGAGGAGCCTCTGGGCATACTGGGGCGCGGGGCGCAGCCCCTGCCCCGGCCTCCCTGCTGCACCCCAGCGGCCCGGCCCGGGTCAGCGCAGCCGTCCCCTCCCCGCGGGGCTGGAATCCAGGCAGATTCCTCGTGGCCGCGGCTATGCCAGGAATGCGAGGCCCGCCTCTAAATCAAGAGCAGCTGCCCATGCTGGCTCCACAGCCCCTGCTCCGCCACAGCAGGGCGAGCGGGTATGCCAGAGCCCGTCCCTGGCACCGAGGGGATGCCAGGACCCCTGTGCCCAGGCGCCCCTGCGGGCAGGGACCGCTCCAGCGCCCGCACGCACGGCCAAGGGAAGGGGGCTGGCAGCTGGTTAGGCCGCCTAAGTGCCACCCCCACCCCTTAGCAGGGCACCAGGCCTGCAGCCCAGCCTCACCACTACCCAGAAAGTGGCGGCAGTAGTAGGTTCTTCTCTCACTACAGGGCCCTGGCACAAGTTGAAACTCCCCTGATCCAGCCCAAATCCAGACCTGACCGGCCGCAGTCACCTGCCCCAAACCTCCCACCCTGCTGCCCCCGTCCTCCCGCAGAAGGGACCCCCAGACATGCTGAAGCCGGTGCGTTAGTCCCCAGGCGCAAATCCCACAAGGCAAGCGGCACCTTTCCCTGGTACACAGACGAAGCCCCTCCCCACCCCAGCATGGCTGCTCCACCCCAGAGGTGGCTGCTTTCCAGCAATGCACAGCTGCGTGCATGGTCCTAGCCTGCTTGGAGCAGGCTGAGCAACCCATCCTCATGCAGCTCTTGGGCAGTGGGAGGTCACAGGGTTAAGATGTTGGCCACGGCTCCTTTGCCCTCCCTCCCTGCTGTGCTAGCCCCTCAGGAATGCAGAGCTGCACTGGTCCCTGGGGGCCAGCGCTGGCCCCTGTGCTCAGCCAAGCCTGTGCTGGGAGCAGGGACCCTCCCCTGATCCCTCCGTGCCTTTGGAGCTGCTCTGCCTCAGTGTCTGCAAGAAGTCAGGAGACCCCCCCCCCAGGCGGGGCTGGAAGGACACAGGGTGCAAAGGGAACCAAGGGGCTGCACCGAGCCAGGGCAGAGCCAGCCTGCCAGGGGCAAACTGCTGTCGCAGCCCGGGGCGAGGCTCCAGCAGGCTCAGAGCTGGGC